CGGATGATCCCAGTCGGACTGTGTAACAGATGGCTCCAAGGCCATGGAGGACCTTGCCACATCCCGTTAGTAGTCAAGATCGAAAGCACCCTTCGACCTGTGTATAGAGATGACTCAGTCGTCTCTCGGGCGTCCCTTTCTTGGCGACTTGAAGCAGAGGTATCTCTTCCAACGACAGCACTCGACCATCGTATCCATCATTGATTGCAATGGCCGATTCCGAGCAGAAGCCCCAGGAGCAGCAGGCTCAGGCTCAGGCCGCCCAGGGGGGCCAGCCCGCCGCCCCTGCCGGTCCCTCCAAGAGCGCCCTCAAGAAGGCTGAGAAGCAAGCCAAAATGGCTGCCGATAAGGCTGCAAAGGCTGCCAAGCAGGCCTCCCTCCCCGTCGTTGGTGGCAAGAAGACGGACGACATCATCGGCATAACCGTCTCCAAGAACGAGGACTTCTCTGCCTGGTACCAGGAGGTCGTCCTCAAGGCCGAGATGGTCGAGTACTACAACGAGATTGCCGGCTTTTTCATCTTGCGCCCCGCCTCCATGTACATCTGGAGCGCCATTCGCAAGTGGTTCTCCGACAAGATCGAGCTAATGGGTGTCGAGGAGACGAGCTTCCCCATCTTCCTGTCGTCCAAGTCGCTGGAGAAGGAGAAGGACCACGTCGAGGGATTCGCCCCTGAGCTGGCCTGGGTCACCAAGGCGTAAGAAATCTTCCCATCGGCGCAATCCCCACACTCTGCTGACGTTTCTTTATACAGTGGCGACAAGGACCTCGAGGTTCCCGTGGCCGTCCGTCCGACCTCCGAAGCCGTCATGTACCCCTACTACTCCAAGTGGATCCGAAGCCATCGCGACCTCCCTCTCCGTCTGAACCAGTGGAACTCGGTCGTCCGCTGGGAAGCCAAGCAGACCACCCCCTTCCTCCGCACCAGGGAGTTCCTGTGGCAGGAGGGTCACACAGCGCATCTGACTGAGGAGCTCGCCGGAAAGGAGGTTCTCGAGATTCTCGATCTCTACGCTGGCGTGTACGAGCAGCTTCTCGCTGTGCCCGTCGTTCGCGGAACCAAGACGGAGAACGAGAAGTTTGCTGGTGGTTTCTATACTACCACCGTCGAGGGCTACATCCCATCCAATGGCCGTGGCATCCAGGGTGCCACGTCTCACTGCTTGGGTCAGAACTTCAGCAAGATGTTCGACATTACTGTGGAGGACCCCGTCAACAAGGGCAACCACATTCACGTCTGGCAAAACTCGTGGGGTCTGTCGACCCGTGTCATCGGTGTCATGGTCATGATCCACGGTGACGACAAGGGTCTTGTCCTGCCCCCTCGCATCGCCAAGATTCAGGCCATTGTCATCCCCGTGGGCATCACGGCCAAGTTGGCCGCCGAGGACCGCAAGAAGCTCGAGGAGGGCGTCGAGGACATCCGCCACACGCTGAAGAAGGCCGGTGTGCGCACCGAGTCTGACCACCGCGAGGGCTACACCCCCGCCTGGAAGTTCAACGACTGGGAGCTGCGCGGCGTGCCCCTGCGTCTCGAGTACGGCCCCAAGGACGCTGCGAAGGAGCAAGTCAGCTACGCTCGTCGCGACACTGGCGAGAAGGGCCAGATCCCCATCGCCGACCTGGCCACCAAGGTCCCCGAGCTGCTCGAGACGATCCAGTCCGACCTCTACACCAAGGCTGAGAAGTCCTTCCGCGAGCACCGCCTCAAGCTGACCAACTGGGACGAGGTTGTCCCCGCTCTCGATGCCAAGAACGTTGTCATCATTCCCTTCTGCCTCGACGGCAAGTGCGAGGACCGCATCAAGGAGATGACCACGAACTCGAGCCCTGAGAATGAGGCTCTTCCCGAGGGCAAGCGTGCCCCCACCATGGGCATGAAGAGTCTCTGCATTCCCTTTGAGCAGCCCGAGGGGCTCGTCGAGGGCGAGACCAAGTGTCTCAGTCCCGAGTGCTCCAGCCATGCCAAGAAATGGGTCATGTTCGGCAGGAGCTACTAAGTGTGCGACGACGGCAATGCGGGTGACGATGGCGAGAGCGGGGACATGAGGTTGTTTCTGGTACACAGGGGATGTTTGGGAGTTCCGGGGATATCCATCAAATGCGGCATGACTCGGATTATGAGACCACGATGGCGGAATTTGTTCATCCTCTGGCTGAGGGCGGGTGAAAGAAGAAGACATGTCAAGAGATTTGTTAGAGTTCATACAGGAAGTAAAAATCCATTCCATATGATTTGTGCCTAGTGAAAGACACGTTCCCACCCTAACGCTATCACCTGGAGGTCAAACAACACAAACAACATGTCACATTGTAATCATTGGAGCAAAGCCGATCGAGCTCAAAACAGTTCTCTTCAGACTATTTCTTCTTTCCCCTAAATCACTTCACCTCTTCATTGCAGAAATGGCCCGCAATCTTTCCACCTTACAGTCCGAGCGCAGAGTTGAAAGCCTGAGCAGCCTGTTCTCCCTCCAACCCACTCGCAGCAGCAGCACCATCTTCGCAAGCAGCGACAGTGGCCTCGCCAGCGCCGCACCGTGAACCCAGCTGCCCACAGATGAAGCTCGTGATAATGTCGACATTGTTGGCGCTGCCATGGTCAAAGTCGCCCGCGGGCCCAAAGCTCGCCTCGGCGCGGCCGTCGAGGCCCTCGGCGAACTGGATGCTGGGGTCGGCGCACGCGCCAAAGTCGCTCTGGCGACGCACGAGGGACGCGGGAAGAAGAGAGGGGCGGAGGCCCCGGGGAAAAAGGGGGCGGGTTAGGTGGACATGACAAGACGGCGCGGGCGCTAGGTTTGGGCGCGGAGAGAGAAGCGACAGAGAGACCGGCGCGTCGGAGAGGGAGGCAAGAAAGAAGTAGTAGTGAGCGTAGCACAGGCATGCAAGAATAGGGGACAGGAGCAACAACGAGCGCCGGCATGAGAGCAAGAGTCTACACACGCGGAGAGTTCGCTGATTGCAGGCGCGACGTCT